AAACCATGCTGCTCCTTGGAGGAGCATACTTTGAGCATGTTGCAAGGAGGGACCAGTCCTTGAAGAGAGACATTATGCTTGAGAGAGTGGAGGGACTGCATAAGAGAGGAAGAGCCTCAGTGAGGTGGATTAATTTAGTGACTGGGGTAATAGGAGTGGATGTGTCAGAGACAGTAAGGTTGGCTCAGGATAGAGCAGGGTTTAGGACTGTTGTACGTAGGGTTGCTATCAGTTGCAGGTGACTCGACAACACAACAACAATTACAAATAGTACTGTGGTGGTGGTGTGTGCCATCAAGTCAACGGTGACTTGTAGAAGCCCTATGAACAGTGGATCAGAAACTTGCCCTATCCTGTGCCATCCTCACCTACCTGATGCCCTTAAGCTTGTTACAATCACGGTGTCAATCCATCTTGTTTAGGACCCTCCTATATATTTCCACTTTTTAGACATGGTGACCAAGAACTGGCCCCTCATAACAACATGCCAAAGTAGATAAGACAGAACTGTTTGTTCTCTTAGCAGTCCATGAGGACTCATCCCACACTACAACTCAAAGGCACTGATTGATTCTTCTTCTGTCATCCTTAGTTAATGTCTGGCTTTTACAGGCATAGCAAGTAATTAAGACCATGGCTTGGAGCAAACCCATGTTATTCTTTAAACTGATATCATTGCTTTTTAGTACTCTGGAGAGATCCTGGACAATAGACTTTCCCAATGCAATGTCTTTTGATTTCTTAAGTGCTGGTGCCAACGAGTTGATTGTGGATCCAAGTAAGAGGAAATCATTGATAATGTCAGTCTTTTCTCCATCTATCATGATGCTTCCTGTTGATTTGGTGGTGAAGATTTTTGCTTTCTTGATGTTGAGATACAATCCATATTGAAGGTGTTGGTCCTTGATCTTCTGTGGCAAACACTTCAAGTCCTCTTCACTTTAAACAAGTAAGATTGTGTCATCTGCGTAAAACAAGTTGTTGATGCATCTTCTTCCAATCCTGATGCCACATTCTTTTTCATAAAGTCCAGCTTTTTCAATAATTTTTCAGCATACAGATTAATAGGTGTGGAGAGAGGATACAACCCTGACACACACCTTCCCCAGTTTTAAACTATGCAGTGTTCCCTTGGTCTATTCGGACAACAGCCTCTTTGTCCAATTTTAGGTTTTGCATGAGCACAGTTAAGTATTCTGGGCCTCTCATTGTCCTCAGTGTTAGCAGAAATTTGTTGTAATCCACACAGCCAAATAAATGCCTTTGCATGGTCAATAAGACAGACATTCTTTAGATAACTGTCTCCTTTTCACCAGGATCCATCTGACACCCAACAGTGTCAACATCCCTGATGCCACAGCCTCTTCTAAATCTGGTTTGTATTTATGGAGGTTCCCTGTCAATGCCATTTTTGATTGATTTCAACAATATTTTACTTGCATGTGATAGTAGTGATAATGTTTAATAATTTCCATATTCTGTTTGATCACCTATTTTTTTTTTGGAATAGAAGTTAATATATATGGGTTTCTCCCAGTCAGTTGACTAGGTAGCTGTCTTCTAGATTTCTTAGTACAGCCTGGTGAGCATGTTCAGGGCTGAATCTGAATGTCAGATGCTATTCCATTAACTCCTGGGGCCTTATTTTTTGTCAATTCCTTTTGTGCAGCTTGAATGTACTCCTTTATTACCGTTGATTCTTGACCACAGTCTACTTCCTGCATGGTTCTGTGTCAACCAGTTCTTTTTGATAGAGTCATTGTCTTTGTACTGTTGAATCGGAACTGACCCATAGCTGGCCCTCTGACAGGTTTTCAGAGGCCGTTAATAGAACAGGAAGAGATTGGCCACCCTTCTGCAGAGCATCTGGTGTATTCGAAGTGCATGTCTTCAGGTTTGCAGTGCAGCTTCTTGCCAGTAGGCTACAGTATAGAGCTTTGGTATAATAACTCTGTGTATTCCTCCCATCTTGTTCTGGAGAATCACTCAAGATTTGCCCATAGAATTCTTCAGGATTGCGGCTTGTGGTTTGAATTTGTTCTTCAATTT